GACTGACTTCCTAGGGTAAACAGTACAGTCCAGTAAGCTTTAAGTAATTCTCCATTGGGTACACCAAAAGTACTGTCAGTTGCATAGTTTTAAATTTCCTAAAAGGCAAAATTTTTGAAATTCCAACCCATCGAATATTACTTTTCCAACTCTCACCGGCCTCATTGAACGTTTCACAGCTCTTGAGATTTCTTGAACACTTCAATCTATTCAGAGGATTTTTTGTCTCAGTGTGTCAAGATGTTCTCCTACAACGAAATGAACCTTGCTGTCATCAAAGAATGTAGCCACTTAACAACCGCTTTTACTAGTTGCCGAACAGGTTGTAGTCACTGGGGCCATCCCTTGATTATATGGCCAGTGGTTGCTTAGCCACGATCTAGATTGTTCAGTCCTTGACAATTATTAATATTTATCACTGCTTATTGATTACTCTGATTACTTTCGCTCTAATTCTCCCATGAAACGGAAATTCAATGACCGATCGCGGTTTGATACGTACATCATCGATATTATCAATGAATCACCCCTGCAGAAAAAGTTGCTGACTTCAATGGTGGGGTTGATTTCCATGAAACGACCATGTCAATCCGAAAAACCTTGTACTATACAAATATAATCACAGTTTCTAAGCGAAAAAAAAGCGAAAAGTAAAATAGTACGAAGTAAGAGGTAAAGTAGCAACAATTTGAAATACTTTCGCATGTCAAGTAATGAGTGTAAGCCTGGTGTTTTTTCTCAGTTTAAATTTCAACTTACTTTTTATATAGTACCAGTATGACGTCATTCTTGAAGAGTGTTGCATCACAGCCTTTCAAGAGTAAGCATTAGATCCATGAACACGTTGAATTCTTGCATTCTGACCTCGAAGAAATTGGTGTAGTTCTACACGGACCTCTACCAATTTTACTACTCATTTCAAAACTGTTACAATACCACTTCGCTACCAATAACGCTAATCAGCATTTTTTTTCCAAATTTTCACAGGCTATAGTGGCAGAAAAAACGTAAATGGTCCCGCTTTTTCCCCTTTCCGCTCTGGCTGCAGTTTGTGCAGCTGGCAGCAGTTCTTGTTGATCTCTTCTCATCTGCTGCTACGAACCGACTAGTCAACATCAAACAAAAAAAGGTTCGTGTCTGTCATATCTGCTTGTTGAATGATAGTATGCATAGGGGACAGTATAGCAAGAATGGCTCCATAGAAACAAACCATTTGGCTCTCGTCAGTCCCTTTCTTAAGATGCGCCTGGCATTTCACTTCCATTTGAGGTCATAGAGGCGATTGAGAACATATGTGTCCTTACATTGTCTTGTGGTGGCCAGCCGATGTGCACGACAGTGCTTTTATACTTCCAAACGNGTCGCGGTGAGAGGGGCGTCGCGCGTGAAGGAATGTAGCAGGATGCAGCACTAGGTAAGAAATACAAGAACAAAAGTACTAATAGTAGAATAATGCATAAAATAATGATCGCATATCGATTGAGCTGTATGAAGAACGCTAGAGCTGTAATAACGGCGAAGCGAATAGTCCGCGACAGCCGCGTGCGGCAAATCGATTACCCAAAATCGTTTCTAACGATCTCCCGTTTTGGTTGGTCGTAGCGACTAGTGGCCGGGGATTCGATTTCCGGACCTCGCATGTGATTCGGTACGCCATTAGCAGATCATCATTTTTAGCTGCTCATTTTTATAAAGGTTCAAATGTAACTTTCTATATGCTACGTGCACGCGAAGTCTGTTAACCTGGAGCCAATGCTGTAATCTATTTGAAATAGATCCTCACATTGTGTTATATCTTTTACGGAAATAATAACACTTCCGTCCGTGCTATGTGTTTTATACCTCATCTGGGGGCGGGCTAACCTCAAAGGGCGGGGTCGACACTAGTTTAAGTCCATTCACACTCGACATGTCGCATTACTATAGTGTAGTTCGGAATTTTTCCAGACTTAACGAATCTGGAACTTATTAGTCAGTGTAGCTTCCTTGGATTCCTGATGTGATAAGTAATGGTGATGCATATGCAGACAGGGTGCAGAACCACGTGAATCTGTCAGTCATCTGATTTGGTAGAATAGCAAAGCTTCTTATCATTTCTTTGTCGTTTGAAATAGGATTTGCTTCTCTCAGAATTAGTGCTTTGTCACAGCAAATTCGTCTTCATTTATCTTACCATTTTACTGTTTTATTATTATTTATGTTTTATACCTTTCTACATTCTACCGTGGTTGGAAGCGAACGAGGTCTGTTACCGGGATCACGGCTAAGTTGATGGCGACGTAATAAAGCTATCACCTGTGAATTCCTTAAAAGGGCATGCAACAGCCCTTTACCGTCTTCCTTTCATCGAGCACTGTAGGGGGTCCACTTTCACGGAATTGTTCAACTTTTGACATTGAAATGGCGTGACAACCTGAGGTTGCCTTGGATCCCATGAAGGCTATTCTTGCGGTGATCGGAGCCACATCGGGTCTATAAGCCCCCATATACAACCTGTTCATTAAGATGGGGATTATAGAGGAGGCCTCGCTAAACAAACAACTTTGGATGCCCTTCCTGTACGGGCTCTTTGTAAGATTACTCAATAGTAGTTGTTGTTGTAGGAGTAGGAGGAGGGTCGGTGCTAATATCGGTCAAGTGCCAGCTAATATTTCGAACCCGTTAACTGTGACCTCGATTGAATTTTGTGGCGTAACATCATGAGTTCTATTGAAGAAGAGACGACCTCTATACCTGTGAAGAAACGGGAAAAACATCGTTTGGCCATTGATAGCGGGACGAATCGGGTTGAATGACAGCACTAAATTACTGAAAAACATCATGAAGACGGCAGACGCCGATATTTCTGTCGTGTATTACTTTTTTTAAATTCAATCTTTTACATGTTGCGATATTAATTAAGTGTCTGTTGGTGTCAAGTGCTGGTGTCAATTACTTTGTAGTAATCGGTCCTTTAGAGCTGAAGGTTCAAAGGGCATGCCTTATCTTCCGGATCCTTTGTCAAGGCCTTTTCTATACCGATATTTACTGCCTGTTTACTTGTTTTTGTACAGCAAGGTCAATAAAAAAGCATAGATTTTGGGACGCGGTTTTCTTCAAGAAACCTTTTAGGCCCAGCTGTGTCATCCAGTAATCGTGGAGAAGTATTTCCTTTTACCACGGAACTTTATCAACTCTTAGAAATGCTCGGCTTTCCCCGATTTTTTGTTATTTAACTTTTCTTCAAATGTCAGAATTATTACCACTACCACTATATTCGGTTATTTATTACCTGTAGCTACATTAGTCATCACCATACCCTCAATGCCCATGAGTTAGTTTGAGGAATGGGAGTGGGAGAAGTAGTCTGAACAAAGCTAACTTCACCTCACCATACCCTCCCAGCCGTCTTTTTTTTGAGTTTCCTGAAGCCAATGCATCGAGTTCTCTTCTGAGGAGAAGTCTGAGGCTTCATTATCGTCAAGTTGTTTTTATCAGTACGATGTAATTTTCTTTAGTAACTTCTTTAACTCACATTTCTGGTTCCGCCGGTAGAATTTGATTCCACGTTCCTAAGAAATTCGAGTAGACTCACGGTGCATGGAAAAAGTGTCATTCGTAGCTCAACAACTTGCTGCTGTACTAGCCTGTTTGCTAACTTTTGCTGATTTACTGCATAGAGATAATGAGAGTGAAGTCGGCCCAAGGCAGATAGGAAAGGTACGAGGCTGTTCTTCCTCAATGACTTTCCTCCTAACTTTTATCTCCTGAGGTACAATTCCCGGGTGAAGTTCCCCTACTCCTCTCCATCCTTTCCCATCTCCCTGAATAAACGACATTCAATGGCGAAAAGTGGTATGTTTAACCAACTTTAGCGATTTCCGACCTCAGCTTTTACATCACTTTGCTTCGTTCTTCTCGTGGATGCGATAAAACGGTGCCCTATTGATAGGTGCAGGTGCTTTGTGTCTTCCGATAAATCGTCCCGTTTTCACCACGACGAAAAGCTTTTGTCTAACCACCAATGCATAGTAGAAAGTGTAGTCAACCTTTCAAAGTTTTCCAAAGTGTGGGTTTTTGCTGAAATCGTCCATTCCGGGACTTTTCTCTATTTCAAGTATTGGACAAGTCGCGCAATGCTGGGGATTTGCTCGCCAAAGCCGGATGATCATTCTTGTCGTTGAACCAAATTGTAGGTCATCTTAGACCGATTCCCTTTTCTCATCGTCGTCGTCGCCATATTCTTTATGCGTTTCTTTTAAGACACTAGAGGCTACTGGTTTCGCTTTTATGAGGCTTTGGTCCATCTCGTAGAATCCATCCGTAATGAGGACCTACCCTTCGACGTCCCTTTTACGATGACGGCCTCTGGGAAAAGTTTGGCCTTCCTCAAATCTACTTATTTTGCTCAGTATGATTCACCGGCAACTCCGCGGGAATCTACCAACTTCTTTTGGCCATCAAGTAAGCCGGTTCAATCGGCTTTCCCCTCGGAAACTCATGACCAAGTACAGTGCTCACTCGTGCTCACCCGTCCAAAATATACCCGTGCCCTGGACATGCCACAGCATACAAACGAGTATTTCAAACCATGTTTTGAAAAAACCAATTCCTGCTCAACTGGTAATCTCTAAGTATCTGAAGTGTAATATCGGAAAGGTTCCGAGGGTGTGTTCAGTGCCATAATAGAGCTTGGGAACCTGGACCTCATCCAGTGATTACCACTTTTTGGGGCTTTTCGATGGCGGCTACACTTCTTGGCCCAAGTCTATTTTTTTTTAACCGCCTGAAAGACTTTTTTAAAACTTATTGATTGAAGATTTTGATTCCCTCAAATCCTATGATGATCTTTCTTATTCCGACTCACGTTCTCCTTTTCGTTTCATAGCCTTTGATGTTCTTCGAAGCGTTCGTTTTTGAAGTTGTACATGTTCGTCGTGTCGTTCCTTGCGATTGTACTCACTGCTGATGACGCACATTGTTTACAATCTGTTGTTTGCATTTCTTTATATCCATTTAGAATGGAAATTCGTGATAGTTTATGCGATTTGGGACGTATGGAAATTCCTCGGCCACAATTTCATGGAATGCAATTTATTGCAACACGAGGAAAACTAGGATTCTACAAAGTAAACATTTGCAATAAGTATTGTTGATGAGAATCCTTTTAAACCGAAAATTTTCAGACAATACGAGAAAATGGCAGTAAATACGGGGTGCAAGTTAGGCCACAAGGCCCACGACGACCGGTGCTCAACAACGACATCTTCCAAAAGTGAGTCACCGTTGTTTTTGTTTTCCTGCTTTACACTTTTTCCTTGGTTTTATTTGCTTTGCTCGAATATTCCAAAGCTGGCTGTACGTTCCGAGTAACTGTTTCTTATGGGTAGAAACCTTAGAGGGATATTCTGCGAATGGTACAAAGGGGAGGAATTGAGTGATGCCATGTAAACAGGCCGTATTGATTTCATGGTTGCCTTCTCTGGAGCGACGTCTTCAAACTGTATTGATAGGAGGACTGCCCTTAGCAATCGGGGGAATATTTTCACAATTCTTGAAAATGATCTCGGTTATTTTCTGCAATGTGGTATTGCTCTTTAGACCAGTGGAACAGAATAGTAGATGTCTAGCAGTATTTCAATGTTCCTAAGGGAAGATATCCCGACTTCCATCAGATTTCAGTCGGAAAATATAGTAGCGGTCTTAAGGGTACCGTAAAATTTACTAACTTTTTTGCTGAAGGAATTACGACTGTAGAAATATTCGATAGTTAAAAAAACTTCATGGTTCCTCAGAACTTTTCTACCCATGCCACAACGTACTTACTAAACGAGGCGGTAGGGCAACGGTGAAACCTCTTAACCAGTTTTACATTTTTGTAACATTTTGGACTAAGGCAAACAGCTTCTTTTGTACTGGGGTCATTAACATTAGGTTCCGGTTTTAATTCAGTAAGCTCCTGGTACCATACTTGTTGAAACAGATGCAACTACTCGATAGCATGTTAGTTGGATTAGACTGAGCTACATGCAAGAGCGACAATTCTCTCTGGCTACTCATTTCCAAGGCATTCAAGTGGTTGTATGATTTGAATTTTAAATGCATTTGGGCGGCGTGGCTCATCCAGAGTGAACTGATCAAGGCCGTAACCTTAATTATTTCATCATTCAGCTGATCGGGTCAAATGGTATCTCTAAAATCAGTAATTCTGGTCTCGGGTTACATTATCTGAACTTCTCGGCTTCCTCAGAACTCCGACCTGATGCAAACGCAACTGGACTCCCTGTATGTATCTGCCTATTACGAACTTTTTATCCTCCCTTTATATCCTCTACCAGGCGGGCTAATTTGGGCACCCAACATGTATTTCTTCAGAAAATGTCCTTTTACAACCTGTTATCATATGCAAAAATGAGTTCAGACTTGTCTTTGGTAGTGCTATTTATAGAAGTGACGCAGATGCATGATAGGCATAGCTTACCAGGTTCACCAAGAAATCATTGCTTGAGCACGCAAATTCTCGTTATCGCTGAAGTTCGCCATAAACCTTCGTTTTACGACCAGTCCATGTTTAATAATTCCTTTTTTAGTGGAGCTTTTCATGGGAGTTTCCGTGAAAAGTCTAAGCGCATGAACACTATGGATCCTACTACGTAACTACGGTAATACTGCTCTGCTAGGTGAACGCAGAAAAGTTCCTCATCGGCCAGCTTGGCTATACTACCCGAGTGGAACTGCATCGGAGAGTTCTTGCAGACCTTTGGAGAATTCCACCCTTCTACTGTCCCATTCCCTGTATCCTAAGAAAGTGAAGAAGTAGACTTATTCTAGTTTGAACTATTGCGCTTTTTAATAGGAACATATTTGGAGGATTTTTCAAACCTTCCGTGAAATAGGAAGCTACAGACGACGAGAAAGTTCTCCTCGTACTGGTTTTCGGTCCATTAAGCTTATGCGATCGCTTGTAAATGCTTGCTATCAGGCATGAAATGATAAGAAACCGGAAAGTGTGCCTAGCAAAAATTTAGGGCCTATGTGTACTGAGCAAAAAAAGTTTACGGTAACAAATAGTTGAAAAAAAAACATGAAATAAAATACTTGTTTTGTGTACAAAATACATACATACATACAAAATCTACAAATAGAAAATCACCAGTGCCATGAATTTCAGGCCATCTGCAGTGAAGGAAGAATCCGTAGAAGATTCTCCACCTACAGAAAATCGAACAACAACTCGCCCACAGGACCCGCGAGGAAAACCGAATGAAAGCGGACGGGATAGGGTCAACCAGGTAGGGCTTATTTTATCCCAAGTGTCTCCTGAATCTCCCCAAAAAACATATCTGGGGAGCAGTGGCTACATGGGGACATGAATGACATATATGCAGTCTGGTAGCCTTAATTATTTGATGATTGATTAAATATAATTTACGAAGCATGGCTGCTAGTTCAAGTCATACTTGTTAGATCAATTAAAACTTCCAGTGAATTTGAAGGGACACCGCTATGTGGGGTCTTTCTATAGATGCCTTTCACATCTCGCGATGAACGTTTTTAAGACTCGGTTCAAAATTGGTGTCCTGTGAGGAAATGCTTGAAAAAAGTTTCAAAGAGTGGATGAACTCGATAGGAACCAGCTCATACCCGAAAACTGGGTGAATTGCCCAAACGGGAAAATTAGCAACTGTACGTATATGGGAGTACTACAGAAAGTAAAGCGCCCATTATGGGTGCGCGTAACGAGATTTTAACACGGATACATTAGGGACGTTTCGGGCGTTCACTGAAATGGTGGACTTGAATAGGTAATTCACTTTTCTAAACGATTTCTTACGTTCTATTTTTGTGCTGGTTCGAATGTTACGAGTTTTTACCAAAAT